TATATATATATATACATGTATACATATATATATATATATATATATACATACGTATACGTATACATATACATATACATATACATATATACATATATACACATATATATATATATATATATGCGATCCCCAGCACCTTTTGGTTTGGGTCTCGTCTAGTATTCACCGAGGTCTTGGGTTTCCTGAGTTGACCTAAATATATCTCTTATCTAGTATTCACCGAGGTCTTGGGTTTCCTGTGTTGACCTAAATATATCTCTTATCGGGTTCCTGTGTCTCCAACTCGCTCCTTCTGGGCAGTTCTGTCTCTCACACTCCCCCTCTCTCTCTCTGCCTCTCCCTCTCCCTCTCTCTCTGTCTTTTCCTCTCTCTCTCTATCTCTCTTTCTTTAATCTCTCTTGCTCATTCTCCACTGCCTCTCTTTCTCACTCTCTCTCTCTCTCTCTCTCTCTCTCTCTCCCTCCCTCCCTGTCTCTCTGTCTCTCTCTCTATATGTTCTGTCTATTTCTCGCCTTTCCCTCCCGATCTCTGTTTCTCTTCCCCCAAACCCTGAACCCTGAAGCCCGAGCCCTAAACCCTAAATCCCCGGACCTTGGCCAGGCTTGCCACCTCGATCCGCGAGATCCTCGCCACGCTGAAGGAGAACTACAAGAAGCTGACAACCAAGCAGACGGACTCGATATCGTGTAAGGTGGACAAGCACCTTGGAAAAATAGATTGCATGTAGCTAGGTGTGAGTGCAATGCACTGCTTATGCTACCCCAGGACTTTCAACGATTCGCTTCTACAGATCTACGTGGACTGTACAAAGAATGATGTTGTCATGAATAACTATGTCACCCGGGCACGGCTGCTCAACTGCATCTAATAATCCTCCCACGCCCTAAACCCTAAACCCAATTAAAATATTCGCTGCCCTAGTATCTTAGGTCTCTCAAGGCCGGCTCAACCCGTGGCTCCACCAAGTCTCCAAAGGAGAAAAAGGACAAGAAAGAGAAGAAGGAGAAGAAGGAGAAGAAGCCTAAGTCGAAGAAGTAGGCTTCGCACGGATCGTCGAGCAGAGCTGAGTTCTGCAGATCTACATGATCTTTCTGCCCATGTGCTCTGCTTGCCTTGCGGCACGTATGCATGCACGAGGCTTCTGGCACGCAGCCGGGTATCTAGAGAGTGCATATAAGCTTAGTCATAATTGTGTTGTCGAGCAAGCTGACATGGGTTGTGCAATTAGCATCGAAGTGGAGCAGCAAAAGTGCTGTGGACACTGGTTCCAGCAGGGGTGCTCGGCTGGACGAAAATGCATGATATATGTTCTCGAAGCCCAGCAGTGCTTGCACGCATGTGGAACTATAGCAACCCGTACGTGGCCTACCCTTTTGGCCCCACCCTCGCAGGTCGACTACTTCGTGCAGCCACTCAAGAACACGATGACGAACGAGGTGCTACCCTGTGTCCCTTAAGCAATATAGGCTAGTCTAGCCGCATAACTGAAGTCACGTCTGCTTCTACACACCCATGGGTATCCTGAAAGAATCCCGCCCAAGCTCGTGAGGCCGCCTGCTGTTCGGAAATGACAACGACGACGATTTGGTCGAGGAGTTGTTTGTCTCCTTTGCCGAGGGAGAAGCTGGGCCATGGTTAAGGGCTCACTAGCCGGTTTCGATCTGAGGTTCGTGACTTTATAGTGTATATAATAGATTGTGGTCAATCTGCAAATCATGTAGTGGCACTAAGGGTGAGAGTGCAAAGCGAGTGGTGCGCCTAGCTACAGTTGCTTCGAACCTGCTCCGGAAACATGGTCCCTTGATCCAATCAGCTAGTAGGTTGGGGGTTTGGGGCCGTGTATGTTGCAGATAGGTATAGCTCCTACGTAAAATACCGGCCTGGGCTTGAGGTATTGCCGACCGTATTCTCGAGAAGGTTGCAGCTTGCGGTGTCTCTGACAAGACAAAGACACATGCACTTCAAAATCTGAATGCACTGGTGCAAAGATGGGGTCGAACGCTTGATGTTCCGGTGACTTTTATTACAACAAAAGTCAAAGTACTTCAGCGCCGCCGCCAAGAAGCCGAAGTTCCCTTTCCTGTTCTCCTACCGAGCTCTTGGTTTAAGTTTTTACTGCTGAATCATGCGAAAGTGTTGCTTGGTGGATATGAGCTTACAGCAGTATCCGAGTGGACACAGCTGTTCCAGGATGCATGGTCACGGCTAAAGGTCATCGGAGCTTCCTGCTATTCTGAAGACGTGGATGCCCTTGAAGATGATGCAGAAACCTCTAGAATCCTATAATGGTGCATGGCGATGAGGGCAGAGGTCGAAACAAAGTAGCCACAATGGTGATTGCGGTGCAACCATTGGTGAGTTGGCTGGGGCCAGAATTTGTGAACATGTCAGGGTAGCTTCTCTGCAGTACGATGTTGCATAGTGTCGCCATTATATGCATGACCAGAGACTTTTCTTATGTGTCGTAGCTAAACCTGTGGCCCCCAACCCAAGGCACTCAATGACCACTCGACTGGTATTTGCTGTTGTTCCTTCAACAATCTATGCTGGCGATGCGACCCTGGATACTCTGCATGGTGCCTTGGCATCTGACCTGCTCCAACTGCACAAGGAGGGCCTCGAAGCGACTAGCTATCTTGAGTCAAAGTTTGTGGGCGAAGGGTTTGGGCTTGGGGTCATTAAGCTACAGAGTAGGACTAAGTGGGCTTGTGGGAATGTACGGGTGTAGGGAAGTTGGTTCTAGTCTAGGTTCTTGGTCTCTAGCTTTAATGTATATCGACAAGATCCCTACTCGATTCCCGAGGTTCCTATTACTGATCATCACGGTAATACCTACAAGCGACGGCTGAAATTCACGATGATTTATTTGAAAGGCGATTGGCCGTATTTGAGAAAGGCGACACATTTACGCAGCGGGTTTACTTCGACCCGCAAGTGCCATCTTTGTTCCTCAACCGAGTCGTGGTCCAGAACCTCTAGTAGAGCTTAAGTGGTTGGAGCTATAAGTTTGGGTACCAAGTAAGCTAGAACTTTGAAAGGGTTCTCGTGTTTCTTATCTGACCCATAGGATTGGTATGATGTTGGCCCAAGTGGCCCAACAAGGGCTTGGAAGAAGGACGATGTCATTCCAGACCCCTATTGGTCAAATAAGTTTTCTCAGCTACGGTTGCTTCCATGGATGAAAACTCCGAGAACTATCAGACCGGACTTGGCTCACACGTATGCTATTGCTGGGTGGGGAAAGCATTTTGCGGCTTCAGGTGTGATTACATTATTTCGCCTTGGTGTGTTTGGGCACGCCAAAATACAGATTTGCCTGCAGACTGCATACAACCGCTTTCGTGACTGGTGTTCGAGGAATCGTAAAAGCACCAGCATCAGTGACTTTGAGCTGACTTCTTTCAAAATATCTTCGTGCCTTAGATGTAACCAGAAAGCCCTGTGATTGATCTAGTGCATTTTATGTAGTGCATGCATTTTATATCACAGTCCCATACACCCCTACATCCGAGGCTAAAGGAATTCCCACATGGTTTGGGGAAGGGCCATGACTGTGCCCTGCTTGGGTCCTGGCTGCTGGAGGAGTGCCAAGCTGTAGATGAGACCTCGATTGTCCCATGGTGTTTGTCTGGACTGTTTTTTGTGCATGGTATATATTTATGTGCTGTGGAGTTGTCAATGGGCTCATGCTTTTTTGTATAGTGTAAGGACCAGCAGTACAGACGGTTCTTTCAGCTGCTTCGATGGACGACCCAAGCCGTGAACATTCACTTTCGGTTACTATATTCTGCTGGTATCTGGATACATGGTGATTCAGCGCGACTTGCTGTGGAGACGGGGTTCAGAATGCTCGAGCTTTGGCTGAAAGGGATTGTGCTTTCGGGCGGGAAAGTAGGAGGTTCATATGCATGATACATAGACACCAAGGAAGGCTATGGAATGCTAGCTTCTGAAGCCAGCAACAGATTCGGTTGGGCTTTATTCCGTGTGCAGCCCAAACTGCACATGGCTGTTCACATCGTGTTGCTAGTCTTGAAAAGCACCATGTCTGTTCGAAGCGATCCTTTGCAATTAAAACGAAAACCTTGACCCCAAGGCTGGAAATCCAATACAACCTCGAAGATTCCGGTGGCAAGTTCGCTCTGAACCCTCTTTGCCACTTGAACGCAGCTGGGGCCGGGTTAAGGGTAACAGCTTGTACTGCTATTGCCTTACTTAGGCACATGCACTTGGACGGATGAAGACTTTATTGGGCGGGTGTGCCGGGCCGCCAGACGCACGCATCCCTTTACGACGAGTCTTCAATCCTTGAATCGTGCGCTTATGCATTATCGGCATCAGTTCCGAAGCAACGAGCTGTGACCTGGGAACCCCGGCCGATTCGAGCTTGGAGAAGGAAAAAGCGTCGGCAGCTGGAGCTGTGCTTGCAATGTGAGCGTGTTGTATACACCCAGCAAACCTCCCGAGCACTTATCAAATTAAGCGAGCGATTATTGAATATCGTAGTGCTTTTGCGGGGTTCGTTACCAAAAAGTTTCGATACGCAATTATGTGTATCAAACAGCAGTCCAGGCTTGAAGTTCTCCCCATAGTACGTAGTAGCAAGAACCGCCGGTGCGGGGCCAGACAGGTCAACCCCAACAACGTTGAACACCGCGGGCTCCGACTCGTCCACAGTGGGTAGGACGGGATTACCGGCGGCATCATGCTCAGCTTGAAGTCGCTCTCGTCGTCGACAGCGGATGGTCCCATCTGGGTAGTGCCACCGGTCCCTTCCAGCGCGGAAGCTGTGGCCTCTCTGTATGAGTCCAGGCAGCTCTGGAGTATCCGAGGGGTTCTCCGCCGGCTGCGACGTGCATGTCGGAGACCACTGCGAGGACGAAGACGACGACATTGAGCTCCCAGCTTCTGGCCATTGCTATTCTTCGATAAGAGGTGTGTCCAATCCTGTCGAAGGTGAGTTCAGTGTCCAGTTGCCCCAGGAAGAGTGCGTTGACGACGGCTCACTCGAACTCGCACCATGGGGGGGCAAAGTGGAGGCCGAGGGTGTTCCCGGTGGGGCCATCGATGTCCACGCGCTCCACGATGTCCAGGTACTCCAGGAAGATGTCGCCGACGAAGAGACCAAAGGTTCCACCGAGCTCGTACTTTGGGAGGTCCAGGTTGCGTGAGCGGAACTCGTTGAGGAAGCCGATGATGTCCACGTACTCCAGGATGTCCAGGAAGTCCACGTACTCCAAGAGGTCCACATAGCTGCAGGCGCCGTATCCCACGTGTTCCATGAAGTCCAGATGGGCTCCGGTGTCGCCGAGGTTGGTGTCAAGTTGTGATCTCCCCCTCTTCCTCTAAGGTTGCGCCGATCACGGACCTTCTCCCACCAGTGGCAAGGGTGTTGACCAGGAGTCACCGATGGGTGAGTCCCGTTTGTGGCCATGTGAGGGAGCGGAACGTTCTCTGTTAGCGGGGAGTCAAAGGCGTCCTCAAACACGTCCGTGACTTCCTCATGTTGCAAGGCAGCCCCAATTTCTTCGTCCCACGCACAGGTTTAAAGGGTTTAGGGTTTAGGGTTTAGGGTTTAAAGGGTTTAGGGTTTAGGGTTTAAGGGTTTAGGGTTTAGGGTTTAAGGGTTTAGGGTTTAGGGTTCAGGGTTTAGGGTTCAGGGTTTGCCGTAGAGTGGCGCAGAAGCGGAAGTAGCTTGCGACAGTGTATTGTCGAGTGCGTCGTAATATGACGATTGGCTGTTGGAGCCTGATGGTGGATGGCTCTTTCTTTTAACTCTCCCACCCCACGCCGTCTAAGGCGGCCAAACCACCCAAACCTATACCTTTTAGGGTTTAGGACCTAAACTCTGTTAGGTCCATGTTGGTTTACAACAACCACACAATTCTGCAGCCAAGCTTCTGGTCCGAAAAGGCAGGGCAGAGTACGGCAGGAGGTAAGGGCCAACAGAAGTGGTCAGGAGAGGCCAGAACAGGGCGGGGGCCGGGCAGGGGATAGGCAAGTGGAGGTGTCTGGGGGCCTGGCCCTGGCCCTGGCCCTGGCCCTGGCCGACCTGGGGGGCCTGGGGGGTTGGGCAAAACTGCAAGAATTGTCCACGTCTCCCCCAGGACCGGCCTGGACGCCCCCAGGTCCTTGAACTCTGCTCGCTGCAGGCCCCAAGCCCCCCCTTGGGGGGGTCCCTTTTTGGGGGTGCTCTGGGAGAGGTTGGGACCCGGGTCTCGACCTCAGGGTTTAGGGTAATGACTTTATTAAGGGACCAGTACTGGTCCCGAGGAGAACCGGCTCCGGTACCGGGCCTGACGTGGGTGCTACCGTCCCCATGGCTGTGGAGAGGCGGGCAGGCGTCTTGGGTCGCTCTGCGCCATCGAGGTCGAGGGGCTTAAGCGCCGCCCACCCACAGTAGGTGGGCGGCCTATGCCTTGAGTTTAGGGTGGGGAGTTTAGGGTTTAGGGTTTGGGGGTTATGGGCTTTTGTCCATCAGTTGAGGGTTTCTTTTGAACGGGTCCTTAGAGTTTACCCGAACCCGAAAGCGGCTTGTAGGGGGGTTGGGGGGGTTAATAGACTTGAAAGGCTTTTGTTCCTTTAGAAGGATCCTCACAAGGGTCCTGGGGGTCTCTGGGCGTTGGGAGTCTGGGGGCCTGCAGGGCCGTGGTTTAGGGCTTAAGGCATATAGACTTCCGGGATTTAGCAGTTCACAGCAGTTTCTTTGAAGGGCTTCTCTAAGAATTCTTACAAGCTTCTTAGGAGGGCTGAATACCAGCTCTAGGAGGTTTCGATACACCTTACATGACGGGTTTAGGGCAAGTGTACTGCAAGGGCCCACTACAGTACAGCTTACCAAACACAGGTTACGATGGTCCATCATCGGAGCTGCCTCTACGTTGTTCGCGCTTTTTTTAGTTGATATAACGGGGGCCCTCGGGAGTAGCACTGGACTATGATTCCATGGGTGTGAGGTCCATTTAGCCTATAGGGTTGGAGTTGTGGGTTGTTTCTTGGTAACTAGGCCCTTATATTACGTACGGGTTTTGTGCTAAGGCTTGCGGTCTGGAGCTTCAACACCCAACCCAAATATTGCTTGGGGGCATTCCTTCCTATGTTCCGGGTGGGCCCACGACCCCACGCCCCGAACCATCGGCCACAAACCCCACAAAACCTGAAACCATGATCTGTTACAGCACTAGACATGAGATCCCGAGCACCCAACTCTGGAAGCAAGGATCCCGAATCCTTCTAGAGCTACACAGCCCTCCTCAAAACACTAACCACCTCAAACTTGAGCCTTGAAATGGAACCCTAGAAAGCCCCGAACCTGAAAGCCCAAAACCCTAGACAGGGAGAGGATATCATTGAAAACGGGGTGGTGGGAGGCGGGGGCGGGGCGAGGGGAAGGAGCAGGAATCGTACACATAAAGAATCCTAGGACTCTAAACCCCACCTTAAACCCCAACTGACCCCTTCTTTCGCCTTGAGCTTCTCCATATCCGGCTCCTCCCCGAAACTTCTTCGATCGAAAATCTGCAGCAGGGCTTCAGCTCCGATTCTGGGACTGTTCTTCATGGGCATAACTGCATAATGTTGAGGAAGTCTATAGAGACCCTACACTAGAATGATCTGGCTTTACAAACCCATAAGACTGAGCTCGGGCTTCTCGCCGTGGGCCTGTGAAGATATCATGGCAATAGGCTGTCCTCATAATTTTATCGCTAGTCAGTTTCGTAGCAGGAACCCATCAGGCCCTTCAGGGTCGTTCAACTTCAGTTCAGGGCTTACCAGGACCCTCCTTGTACCCTCAAACAGGGGCGTATGGCCCCAAATAAGGGGCATTTAGGGTCTAATAGAGGGTAGGTGGAGGGCCTAGGTATGCCGTGCAGGCTTGATCGGGGTTTGGGCTTAGTAGGTGTCTTTCGGAATTCAGGCTGCGGTTCCACGCCTAAAGGTGGAGGTCCAGGGGAGGAGCTCCCAAACCAGGATCCCTAACTACCCGAACCTTTCAAGAGCTAACAATCTAATTAGACCCTTGAAATACTGCAGGAACTAACATAGGTTCGGAATCAATCCTAAATCCAGAACCCTGATGTCCAAACCCTGCTTCCTAGTTAGACCCTAGAACGTGATGTCGGTCCCTCTTTTGTGCTGCAGGGCGTTAGGCGCAGGTTTAGGGTATGACTATTCGGAAAGGGTATGGCCATGAACCTGCGCTTAGATTTAGAAGCATTCTCAAGCTACTCCCTAAACCGGAGACCTGCAAGCTTGAACCCCAAACTCCCCACCCTAAACCCTATACCCTAAACTCCCCACCCTAGTCCCTAAATCCTGAACATCCCTAAGCCCTAAACCATAAACCCCCACCCTAAGCCCTAAACCCTGAACTCCCCAGCCCTGATATCACTCCCCCAAAACCGCAACAACCCGGGGGAGATCTTGGGGCTGCCAGGGTTCCCAGAGACTCCAATATTCCTTGACTAAGGACTATGTTCCTTAAATCACATTAAGGATCCTACTATCATTGAAGGCATAAGGTATATTCCTGGATATAAGGGATGTTGGAGTCTCTGGGTTTAGGTTTGGGGTTTCAGGGATCTAATTCTAGGTTAGGGCTTCGGGCTTCCGGGGTTTCGGGTGTCGGTTTGGGGTTGGAGGGCTTAGGGTTCCAGGGCTATGTTTCAGGGTTTAGAGTTCCAGCGTTTATTCAGTGTACGAACTCACTCTCTTATAACTACACTTAGGGGCACTAAATGGATCCTATTCTGTTCAGAACAGGAACCAACAGAGCCTGCCGGACAAGCGACGGGCTGCTTGGATTTACCTATAGGGTCATCTCGGATTTACCTATAGGGTCATAAAAGACCAAGGTGAGGGCTTGCAGTTCAGGACTTAAGGAATCTGCCAATTTTTAGAAATATGGGTGGCCGTGTGTCCCGTGACACTTCAGAGATGTTGGGCTCATGTGGGGCTAGGATGCATATGCAGCGCTTGTAAATAAGACCCCTGAAGCAAAACTTTCAACTTCTGGCACACTTGCCCAAAAGCTTGAAGTCTCGCTTTGACAAGTAGAGACTCCATTCTTCCGCCATGCACGGATGCATTTTCCATAGTAGGAGGCGGACTCCTTGCTCTCTGCGAGCAAACTACGGAACTTCTCCAAAGCGGGTAGAAGGGCTTTTGTGGTCGCCGCTTACAGTCGCATCGTCCAAGACAGAGCCGACGTAAGCGGCCAACGATGTTCGGATCTGCAATCGCCTGGAGCGCAGCAAGGCTTTCACTCCGGCTTTTGGCCGCTCACATCATTTGACTCCGGGCCTTGACCATACCCACGTGCTTCTCATGTCAATGGTCATCCGTCACCCTCAGTATCGGAGTTAAAACTATAATACCCATCATCAACATCAACATCATCGTCAACAGCAGCAGAAACAGCACCGTCGTCATTACGGCCAGTGGCATTTCTCCAGTAAGCTTGAAGGAGGTTTGTAAATGTAACGATGTTTCGCCTTCTCGAATCTGCTTGCAATCCACCTGATCAGAACATAGGAAGCCGTTGTCAAACTCAATAAAAACAGGATGCGTGCTGGGCAAACTTTAGATCGATGCTAAACCCTAAACATGTCAACCTTCAAACCTGAAAAAGACTGCGTCTCAGCGCTCAGGCAGCAAGTTGTCTGCAAAACCCTCAGAGCATCCAAAAGCCTACCTCCAGCTTTCTGAGGGTTTAGGCTTCCAAAGCATCATTCGAAACCCGGGACCCTACACCCTAAGGTCTAAACTAGGAACCCTGAATTCCCCCCATGCCCAAAATCTGAACCCCCTTAGCAATTACTCAAGTCCAGAAAGTCTTGAACCTAAACCTCAAACTCGAAAACCCTGCGGCCCTGCGGCGCTGAAGCCCTAAGCCATGTCAGCCGGGTCCTCAACCTAAAACCCTGAACCTTAAATCCTAATACAGGAACCTTAATAATCAGAATAGGGTTTTGATGCACATTATACTATATATACTATAGTC